TTCAGCCTATCAAACCCCTTCAAGATTCTTTCCTCTTTCTCGAATTGTCATTCTAGAGCCATGTCGTGAATTCTATTCTCTTGTATGTTGTATATAACTAAACCATAATACAGATGTGTCTGGTAAAGACCATAGCCGATAGAAAGTTTAACCTGTATTTTTTTGCTGAGAAAAAAAAAATTGCTGTAATATTCAGTTTCCTTTTTGAGAGAGTCTCCTTCTTCCCCCTTCCTTCCTTCTTTTTTTTTGCTGTACTTTAAACACGAGAAACATGTAAATAAACCGTGTCTATAATTTATATAAGAGTGAGATGCTATTTGCTGCTAGAATATAATGGGGAGTTATATTGTGCTTTTATTGAATTAAGAACTGTTTGTGTGACCAGAATATTCAATAAAATAATATGACTTTGGCCTTCTGGGTGGATGAGTATGAAAAGTTGTATGGCATACACAACGTACATGAAGGAAACCGGGTGTATAAAATGTCTGGCGAAACATACATGTTATATATTTCATTTCTTAACCCCTTCATGACAGCTAGTTTTCAGTTTCTGTTCATAAATGACTGACACACTTTTTAAATTTTTGCTGTGTGATTCTTCCACGTCAGTAATATACTTTCTTACTAAATGTACCCACACATATTATATATTTGTTTTTTAGAGGACAGATAGGGCTATATAATTATATCACATATGTGTCCCTAACCCCTCAGTTTGAATAAAATTAAAAAATGAGGAAAAAAACTAGAAGGAAAAACACTTTTTTCACAAGTTTTGATTATTATTTTTTTATATTAACCACTTCAAGACCAGGTGTTTAGACCCCCTTCCTTGCCAGGCCATTTTTCCGTGTTCAGCGCTGCGGTACTTTGACATTTATTCCGTCATGCAACGCTGTACTGAAATGAATTTTATACAATTTTTTGGGGGACAGACAGAGCTTTCTTTTGGTGCTATTTAAACACCACATTTTAAAGCTTGACAAACATGTCAAGCTTTAAAATTTGTGCGCACCCACAAAATCGCAGTTTTTATTTTCCTAATTTTGTTTTACACTTTATTAAAAAAAATGTACACTTTGTAAAAAAAAAAAGTTTAAACTTTTTTTATATTAATTATAGTATAAAAAATATATTTATATATCACTATGACTGCTTGATAAATTTACTTTTTTATTTTATTTTTGGCTATTAGGCTGCTCCAAACTTAGGAACAGCTAATAATAACTTTAGAGACTGATCCTGACTTTAGTCAGATTCAGATCTCCCTAAAAGCTCTTTGATTTGTGCCTAGACGATCAGAAGTCGGATACACTTCACTCAAAAGATATACATTTTGTATCTTTTGAGTGAAATGTATCTAAACATCGGGCTCTCGAGCTGTCAAAACAAATAGCAGAGAGGTGAGTCACTGCTACCTCTCTGCTATTTTCAGCTGTCAAATACAGGATTGCAATTGCGGTCCTGTATTTGCATGCAATTGCTTCATTCTTTCATTAATGAAAGGAAGAAGCTTTTACAAAAAGCTTAATTATTTCATTAATGAATGGCTCAATACTGAGGCATTCATTAATGACTGGTAACTGCTGAGAATCAGCGCTTACCGGCATTACAAAGCCTGATTATAACTCGTCACGTACAGTGTACATGGCCAGTCATATAGGCACAAAGTGCCGGGATGTACACTGTACGTCTCCCGTCACGAAGGGGTTAAAAAGACGGCTGAATTCCCAGCTTTTGTTGGCTAAAAGTAAGCCTTTTGTGGAGTCTGAGAAAGTACGACGAATCTGCAGCCAGGGCTGGATTTCCCACAAGGCCAACCAGGGCCCGTCCTTGGGGCAGCAGGGAGTAGATTTGCAGCAGGGGTGTGGAATTCCTATCTGCCGATGCCTAGGATATGCAGTTCTGGGTGCCGGGTGATTTAGTTTTCTATATTTAGCCCAGCTTTGGACAAGCAGAGCTAAATGTACAGCGGGGAAGCCGCCACTTGTTTTGTACGCCCTACCCACCATTCTCCATGAGGGGGTTTTGGTGGGTAGGGCGGGGGGGAACGTATTGAGGAACCTAAGAATCTTCTGCCCCATGTGTTCCAAGATGGAGGCTCTGATATTTTAGAGTTAGGACCGCACTATAAGAGGTGCCTTGGCGCAGCTGTGCGGCTTTCACATTTTCTGCAGAAGATGTGTATCCAAACCTCTGTTTTTAACCTTAGTGTGAGACAAGTTTTTTTTTTTTTAACATGCTAGCTTGTGAGTGTGCCAGGAAAACTTTTTGCTATTTTACTGTTTAAAGCCCATTCCGTGTGCACCTAACTGTAAAGCTGGTGATGAGTGCGTTTGTCATCTGTTTTGCTTGTATTGAGGAACCTGGCCTTGGGGCAGCAGATTGAGTAAATCTGGCCCTGCCTGTAGCCTCCTATTGGGGAACACATGTTGCCATCTATTACTTTTAGATCTGCCGCTACAAACCCTGTGGCAAAACCTGCAGTAAAAGAAAAAGGTTCACGTGTTTTTTGGTACCCTTAAAGCCTCCTAAAATACTCAAATTAAGCACATTTTCTCATACCTGCAGTTTAATTATTGCTTATTCTAAAATGGCCTGGACAGATTTGTTGGTACCCCTAGATTAAATACAATTGGTTTATAGTGATATTTTGTTGTAAGGTCTTGTATGCAATCACCCCAGTCTGAGTATATAGTCATGATGTTTTCACCCATAGCAGCTGCTTTTCCCTTAAAGGGAGAACTATGAGGTGAGTGAAAAATCACTCCTCCTGATAGTTCAAGCTGACGTGTTACAATGAAACTGTCACACGTCGGCTCAATAGATTGGGGACGTAAGCGAATACATACCGTCTCTCGCTCACTTCTCGATCATCTCCCTGCAGAGAGCAGTGACTGTCAAGTCAGTGCTCCCTGCAGGGATCACCCCCCTTCGACCCTCCAGCGCTGACTGGAGGAATGGACAGGGTAGGGCGTGGGCCTCTAGATAGGCAGAGCCAGCTGTCACTCACGCAGCTGGGTGGATATTGACAGTAATGTCGGGGATCTGTCCCGGCTGTGGCCGTTTCAGTATGCCGCAAGCTGTAACTTGCAATATACTGAGCTTTGGGTCAAGGGAGGAGGCTAGTATATGTCATCCTGTGACCCGTAAGAGAACTTACCCATAGTTCTCTTTTAAGGCTAGTGTGCCTACTGGTACATGAATGTCTCCAGAACTTGTACTATATACTCTGTCTGTGGATGTCGCTACAAACCTGTAACATAAGGGCAGCGGAAGGTGAGATAAGAGGAATCCATAGCAAATGGTCAGGGCTGGCAGCAGGCAAGGGCATATCCAGAAAGCGTAGCTGCGGGTCAGGACAGGTGGCAGACAAGTGAAAATCTGAAAATGTAGCCGAAAGTCCCCTAAACCAGAATCTGAATACAGGAGCGCACCTGATCAGCAAGGAATCGCTATCACAAGCACTGAGTCACTGGCTGATGTTGTTTTAAATCAGTGGTTCTCAACCTGTGTATCCTCGCGACCCACATTTGTCCTTGTTCATAAGGTCACGACCCAAGTTGCACTGCGATGGAATGCACGGAATTAGGGTACACACTCCAAAAAATAATTTAAGTTCCACCCAGTCTCCCTTACTTACGAGAACTGGAATGGATCCTCAGCCTGGGGTCCAGTGTGGGCTGCTGTGCTGTGACGGAGCTCCATCCATATGTGCAGTGCTTGTGCAGCTCCCATGCATGCTCTGTGGAGGTGCCGGGAGCCAGAATGTCACTTCGGTCCAGGCATCTCTACAGGACACGTGAGGGAGCCGTAAGCAATGCACGTATGAATGGAGCTCCCTCGCGGCCATAGCCCCATCTCACCTAAAGCTGACACTCAGCACCGGGCAGCGTATTTTGAATGGCTGCTCAGCGCAAAAACTGATAATGCTGCACTAGGGTAAGGCTGAGGAGTCTCTCACCATGAAAAGTGGAAGTCATGTGACCCACTAAACATGGGGTCGCGACCTACCAGTTGAGAACCAAGGTTTTAAATAGAGCGCCTCCATAGACACAGGCCAATCCCAGCTGGAGGTGTGAGGCAGATGCAGTATTGCTGCTCAGCTGTGGAGTAACGCAACAGGCTGCCCATAGTCATTGCCCCAAAGCTGCAGCCAGCGACAAGACTGATAACATTACATAGGCTGCCTGACATTTCCAAACTGGTTTCAGTAGTATCACACATCTTCAATCTTCTCATTAATCAGTCCGCCTGCTTGAATGGAGGAAAGTATTCACTTTGGTAGCATCTTGTGTGCCACAATGAACATCGATTCCAGCTCCATCAGCTCCTAAGTTCAGTCAAAAAAAAAAAAAAGCTTTCACTGAAAATAACACCATACCTACTGTGAAACATGGAGGAGGCTCAGTTTTGTTTGTTTTTTTGTCATCTGCCCTCAACTCTGGAGATGCATGAAGAGGGCCCAATAGTATAGAGCGGAGTATAGAATTAAAATTTATTTATTTACTCACATTAGGTTACCTATCGCCAGCATTACAAAAGAACAATCCCAACCTGGGTTTGGCCTATTATATCTTCCTTAGGAGATGGAAAAAATCTGATCCTTGCAAATGTACAAAATCCTCTCTGGAGCGGTAATAGGTGGCTGTGTAGTTGCACTGTTTGCAATGTGTCGTGGTAGCAAAGTTTGCATTGGTACAGGAAGCACGAGTAGCATCCGACTTACCGTTTGAGTGGAGACACTATGTGCTGCTTCAGTGTAAATAGATGTTTGTGTCATGTGATGTGGCCATGACCCCAGGTAAAACCCGGTGGTGTCCGTAGTCATAGAAGATGGAGGAGGTGCTGCTTCTAAAATAACCAGGACAATGGTGACTTCTCAGTATTCTATTCTGCGGTCTATTCGTATATTACTACATTCCAAGGTGGAGATACACCTATTAGACCAGCACCTGGGGAGTCCTGATGGCGGCTAAGGAATTGGAGCCTTGAGATTGCCTTTGGCTCTACATTCTAGTCCGTTGTTTGGTGTATTCATTCTGTCTCTGTTTTCCATATTTAAGCTTTCAGAAACTGGCAGTATACCTAAACCTAGAAAAGAATATCACCACGATCACCTACTATGCCTGGTCTGTTGTTTGTCCAAGTTCATCTGTGGTCAGGATGATCTATGTACGGGAGGGCAAAGGTACCTCCAACAACACTCATCTGTGGAACACCTACCTCATGTATAGGCACCTGGCTGTAATGTGGGGGACTGCTCTCTCTGGTTTTATGCCTTGAATAATTAAAGATATGAACTGGATCCAGAACCATGGGCAAACACTGTTTTTCTACTGTTTAGGATGACGGGCTGGTGGAAGCTTTGATTGTGCACCAGTGTTCCGTGGAACTGCATTTGGAGGAAGGAGGTGGAGAACTTTGTCTTTGTGAGCATATCCTGACTGTAATGTGGACCTCAACTCGCAGTGTGGAGCACCAACGTTGGAAAGGATGACGGAAAACCTTTCAAAGCCCCACATTTGGAATTCTTCTGTTGATTCTCTTTATTATTAGAGAAATAGGCTTTTAGTTGCACCGGAACTGCTCCTTTAACCATACAAGTCAATGGGAATGAAAAAAGCAGCTTAAAGCACAGTAATACTGCTTAAAATGGGGGATAAAAGGAGGTCACGTGTAGTTCAGTTGCGGCTGTAATGAAACTCTGAATCATCTTGGAAGCATATCAAATTCATCTCAAATGCAAGCAGAATGCCGCTACATTTGACCATCAACACAAGACTATTCAAGCCTTCCTTGAAACTACTTGGAAGTTGGAATTGTGTTCTTGGACAGGGGGCTGCTGTGGGTGTTAGTTTTTAGAAGCACAGGAGCTCCTGTAGGGTTTTCCCTAATTACTCGAAATTTCCTGAAACATTGGCAACACCATGCTACATCTTTTGCAGTTCCTCTGCCCACTGACTCCTTTGATCCCTTCCCTGATAACCTGCTCCATAAACGTTTGCGCTATATAAATCCTGCATAATAATAATAATAACCGCTTTCAAAACATTTGTTTAATTTGAAAGTTTTTGCATATATCTACTGCTTGCTAGTAATAGATATATGCCAAAAAAACACGAGGGTTTAATAACCCTTTAAACACGCTCATTTTACCATCACTTGTCAATGTCAGAACATTATAACTACCCGGAAGTGGCAGGTCGGAGTGAGGGATTGCCCAGTATCTTTAGTCCGAGTGGTGGAGCATAATAGGTTTTCACAATGGAGAATTTGCAGAACAGAAAAACCACCAAAGGAAAAGAAAAGCAGGGACCAAGGTGATATGGGCACAGAAACCACCAGACACCCGTTGTAAGTAAATCATCTTCAGTGCAGACCCTCTTCTTCAAGGGATGGCCGAGCTCTGGTGGTGGGATTACTGTTGGACATGTTTTCTAAAACGTCTCGGGCCCTTTAGATGAAATCTGTTCAGTGTCAGACACAATGATCCCTCACCTCCATTTATTCAAAGTCATATTTTATTACATGTCACAAAGAATACACATAGTAAAGATACAGGAGCAGGAAGCTGATCCTACACCTTCAGATTGGTGCGGTCGTGATATTTCTGGTAAGGATCGTCCACGTACCAGTTCCTCCTCTTCCAGAAGGACGTGGTCATTTTGTCCAGCAGTCTGCTCTGCGTTTTGTTACAGATCACTATTTCTCTCAGGCGTTTTTTCCTGGCTGCCCTTTTCTTCCACAGCTTCTTCTTATAGCCGGACTGTGAATGCAAATATTTATTGGCAGTTAAAGACAAGAACAATTAGTAAATAATATAAGGTTGTGTCCATTTGGTACGTCTTTATTTTAAATGTGAGCGTACTATGGGGAAGCACGAGTTTAAATGATAAAGCCATCAGTATAGTTTCTGTATTATTTGGAAACTTATGTAAAAAGAAAAGCACAGCCAGTACCTCTATGACAGTGTCACGTAGGCTTGCAGTGAGTACAGTCCTGCCCTGTAACCCATTTGTAGAGTAGAGCACTAATAACTAACTATGGAGCCATAGCAGGGGTGCGGGAATCCTATCGCCCAACACTCGAGCAGGTAGTTTTCTTTCACTTTTAGCCGCGCTGTGGGCAAGCAGGGCTAAACATAGAGCAGGGGAGCCATTGCTCCTTTTGTACAAGTGACCTGGGGGGCTGTAGACAACACTTGAAGCAGCTTGCTTGTTAACCCCCCAACCCCAGCTCCCCACCATTCTCTGATCTGCTCTGTGTAATCAGTGACACAAGAGAGCTGTACTCGCAGTGCTTCCTGTCTCAGTGTGTCACAAGCCGGGCTGCACAGGAGATCCAGCGCAATGCTGTGCTCAATCTTTTGCATTGGAGGGCAGGCTCAATAAAGAGATCCTCTCCGCTCCAAGCGCTATCACACGAGAGCTTGTTAGCCCCTTTGTGATAGCAATAAAGTTAAGTGAAAAATAATTTTAAAAAAAGTGATAAAAAGTAAAAAATAAATAAAACCAACTCCATTGCCCCCCATCCGC